TCATTATTAACACTTGATCAATGGACACTATTATCAAATCTAATTAATTGTTATAAAGAATCTCAAATGTTATCATTTTCTCAACGTTTAATCGATACACAAAATATGTCACAATCAACTAACAAAATTTACGAAGAACTTATAGAACAATTTTCATTATGTATTTATGAAACAGCAGCTGGATATCTTCGTTGCAATGATGATCTTCGTAAACTACCATTCAATGATCGTTCAATAATGCTTCGTAATGCTAGTAATACTGTGAGCTGTGTAGGTGGTGCATTCGTTATTCAACATTGGGGTTTATGTAATATGAATGCTTTTTTAAATGCTATGAACACAAGATATGGAACACGTTCAATGGATATTCATATTTGGGCAAAGAAATTTATTGATCCAGATGTTGTATTGATTAAATTAGCAATATCATTATTTGCTTTTTCTGAAAATACTTATTGTTATTATACAAATATTTCACAAGATTTAACAAATTCTATTCATATTTTAGAGATTCAAAATAAATATGCTGAATTGACATGGAAATATCTTCTTTACAAATATGGTCATTATGATACTGTTAAACGTTTTCTTAATTTAACACTTTGGCTTCTTTCTATTGGTATGTTAACGGCTCATGCTCAAAGTTTGATGTTACATGTTCATGATATTGATTCAGTTATTGAACAAACTGAATTACAACTTGTATTAGATGATGTTGCAAACATAATTGAAACAAATCAATAGAAGTCATTTCACTTTTTTTGTTAGATGTTTAATTCAGTAATGTTTTAGTAGTCACTCATGTTTAAAATGAGTATTAAAAATAAAAAGAAGATATGTACAAATAATTTAGAAAGTTATTTAAAAGTATATCTGTTTAGATTATATTACTGATCACATTATCAAAAAAATTTTTGAATAAATTTATTGATATTAATTTTATTTGTTGACTTAGTACGTAATATGATTCGGTCATTGTTTTCTTATAAAAATAAATTTCTATTATTTTATTGAAATTAATAGAATAATCTTTGAAGAAAAAAGAAATCATCAAGTTTTTTTTTTTGTGAAAAATAATAAGATTGATAGAAATTAGTACTGGAAAAAATTGTAAACTAGAAACTTACAACTTGCTAACTATTTTTCTCTGAGTCAAAATTAATTGTTATGAGTGTGGGGATAGGTTAAGATAACATATATCAATTGTGAGAGAACCATTCACATCCTATGAATACATTTCATTTATATAAAGAAATATGCTATTCAATAGATAGATATAACTTGTCGAGATACTACAAAGAAAATTCTTTATGTCAGAAGCAAAACAAAAAATAATATAATAGATAGACTATCATCAATGATGTCTTTCAAAGACATATTATGGAAAGTATCATATCTTTTCTTAAGATGTTAAATATTTTCTTCGAATTAATTTTCGAGAAAAGATTTTTCAAGAATGACAAGTGAAAGTAACAATTGTAATAAACTAACGAGCTCTATTTAGATAATTATTAGAAAATATTTAACTTTAATCACAGTCAATATATGATGAACCGTTGATAATAACAACAAATAATCATCATTTGCTTTTTCTTAATATTTCATTTATCTGCATCCAATCATGAAACTAATGTTTGTTTTTTTCTAATGAAAAATGTTATAATTCTCAAATTGTTGAATGAAATAAAGATAATTTTTAATCCTTTGAGTCCGGGCGACACATATATGCGTCTGAATGCAATTACTTCACAAAGAGGTGCTCCTGGTATATTTTGTAATTATTTGGAACATCTTTTTATCGTTTATTAGGTATGGAGCGGGTGGGAACTACTGAGCAAAAGAATCACATCCGCACCATCGATGTGAAGCTACCACGACAGATTTAGGTAATCTCGTAATTCTCAATGTTGGAATCTAGAGGCATGGAACCCACATCAGAGTGTTGGGTGTGTCGTTCTGAGCATCCTCACTCAGATTCTATGCCTCTAAGTTCCAACGTTGAGAATTCAGAGATCACCTACATCCGACGTGATAGTTTCAAATCGACATCCGCACTCATACACTATACCTTACCCTACACAATATATTTGTCTTGACTGCAATGCACTTCTATGTATTGTTGATTGCTTCGAAGACAACCATACAAAGATGAACTACTAATGATTTTTTGAGACAAATATGTAATTTCTGCGTAAAGAAAAAAGACCATCTATAAAAGTTTCAATTTTCGCATAAAAAAGCCGGAACTGAAAGGATTAATAAAACAATCTCAACTTCAATTTTCATAAATAAAGTTTTGCTTGTAATATATTTTGAAAAGTTGGGATTATAATTTTTTCCTGTAAATAAAAACAGAAACAGAACTAAGCGGAAACAATAAATTGATGTTCAGAATTCATAGCATTTATGAAGACAACAAAATTCTTTGATTTTATTATCATACAATTATTTGAACTATGGAAACTTTCGAATAAAAAACAAAATGAAATATATTAGCTAGCAGAGAATCATAAGAACAGGGGTGCAAAGGATGTGAATATGAGCGTTCATTGCTTTCAAAACCATAACAACAGACCCACTTAGTCCCAAACATTTTATATACATATTTATTTGATCATATGTCCGAACATGTCGTTGTAAGTGTCCAATTGTCATAAAACTCTATATGCCAAAATATTAACAATAAATGTAGAGGAAAGAAGTCATAAATGGCGATTCTAAATGTCGATGAAAATTAATTTATATATAAGAAAGGAATGATCTTTAACTAAATATATCTATTTAAAGTCTGGCTACTGATGTTGATGCTTCAACTGACATAGTATTGAATAATATCATCGCTTGTAAGAATATAATGTTTGTTTTTGGTTTCATCGTTTTGTTTAAAATTTAAATAAATCTACAGAAAAAGTTATTAGGGCTCCTGACCTATGTCTTATGTCCTAAACAAAAAGAAAGAGAAAAAAAATACTGCTAGTAGTTCATGTGGACTTGCGCTAGAATAAGAGTGAGATTTTCTTTTGAAACATTGTCATTATTGCTCTCTGCTCTCGTGATTGCCTTATGAAGTAGGGAAATTGTATAGGTTTTTATTTTTGAAAGATTTGTGCTGGTGTGTATGTAGTCGATAGAGGTATATGCTGGAAGTCCAAGTGCTGCCTTGACCGCTTTGTTTTGTACTATCTGAATACGTTTCCAAATTTTTCGACTTGACCTTAGGAGGACAGAGGATCCGTAGAAAATGATGGGTCTAACTAATGATTTATATAAATTGATCATAATTTTATAATTTGAGTTTGGACTTATTTTTGCAAGAAATCTGAGAAGGCTTATTCTTGGTGCGACTTTTGTTTCTAGTTACTGTAGATGGTTTTGCCAGTTTGATTGATTGTCAAATATGACATCAAGGTACTTTGCTGATGGAACAGGTTTTATTGATGTTACCTCAACTTGAGGGTGTGGGTGTGAATATGTGGGTGTGGGTATGTGGGTGTGAGTGTGGGTGTGGGTGTAGATCAAGTACAAACTAACACCACCACTCACATCCACACCCACACCGCCACCCCACCCCATCAGCCATATGGGCGATTTATCTGACAATGATTCTCAGGATGAATAGAATGGATTCAGTCGAGGGTCAAGCGAGTTGATGCGATGAGTGTTACTTTTTTTTAAGTAGAAAATGTCGGATTGGACTGCCGCAATTCATCTTGCTCATTATCATATGTTTCTATTGGGTTTACAACAAAGTTTTTTTTTTAAAGTCTCTAAAACATTCGCGAAACTTTTGGAAGTTTCGATACTTAGGATATACAAAGGGAGCACGAATGTCTTGCAAACAACAACAAAATGATGAGTAAAGAAGCTGGTTTTGGATTAGAAATGGAGATTTTTCGTAGGGAGCTCCGAGTACTTTTATTTCATGAATTCTGTTTGGGTCGCAAAGTGACGAAAGTAGCAAGCAACATATGCAGCACGATGGGCAAGGATGTACTCTCCATTCGTACAGCGCAGCATCGGTTCAATTGATTTAAGAAGGGGAACTTCGAACTCGACGAGTGACTTCGTTCCGAAAGGTCGCTGTAGGTGAATATGAACGTCTTAAAGCAGCTCATCAAAGAAAGAATCGAGGTTAACTACACGTTGTCTAGCAGAGTGGTTAGGATGCTCTCATACTGTGGTAGAAAAATATCTGGACAAATTAGGCAAGACGTAAAAATATGGCGTTTGTATGTTCCATGAGTTATCACCATTTCAGCTCCAACACAGGGTCGACGCATGTACGAAACTACTGACTTCTCATCACAACTACGAATGGCTTCGCAGTCTTATTACTGGCGTTGAAAAGTGGGTGATGTATGTCAGTCACACGCGCAAGTACCAATTGCTGGTAGTTAGACAAAGCGATATAGCAACGGCAAAACATGAATTTCATCCAAGGGTGGTTATGTTGAGTGCTTGGTGAGGTGTAAGAGGCATAATTCATTGGAAGCTTCTTCCAACTGGTAGTACTATTACTGCTGATTTATTCTATTGGCAATTGGGCCAAGTTGCAGCAAAACTCAAGGGAAAGCAGGATAAGATTTATTTTTTACATGACAACGCCAGACCTCACATTGCAAAATCAATGCGTAAAAAACTATTGGACCTTGGAGGGACTGTAGATCTACATCCACCGTATTCTCCAAACTTAGCTCCCACAAACTACCACTTGTTCCATTATCTCGCCTATCATTTGCGCAAGAAAAAATTCGACGACGTACACGACCTCAAAATGGACCTCAACAACTTCTTCAGCCAAAAATTCTAGGACTTCTATGAACGCGGGATCCTCTCTCGTCCAGAGCGTTGGCAATAAGTGATACATAAGTAATGAAGCATATATTATTGAAAGATAGTCGTATTCTTGAAGGTAAAAAATAAAAATAAAATTTTCGAAAAAAAATGCAAAAAATTTCTTGCAAATCTAATAGTATACCATAAACTCGATAGAGATGTAACAGTCTGCTTTATCTAATGATGATTTCACTCGATGAAAATTAACAATTATGTAGCGAATTTTAAAAGTAAACTCTTTGCTTACTGCTACAACATTTATTTTATTGTGATCACAATGACGAACAGAAGGAGTTTTGAATTAACATAAATTGAATAACTTAAAATAATAATTATAATTATATAGAACATTAAATTAATATACAAACATAAAAGTGAGAATGAGATATACTTTTATTTTTTTCGATGTATATTTAACTTTACTCTTATTTTTCAGTTCTAATATATATTGTGTGTTGTATTGTTGTTCTTTATTTTTGTATGAATGATTTTTACGCAAATAAATTAGTATTTTTTTTTCTTGTTTTGTCTTATTTCTACTTAAATAATATATTATTTTCATTCGTTGTAACTGTAGAAGAATATTTCTACAATTAGAGGACAGAATGAGTTTGCTAAAGCTTTTACAGAGAGAGAGTCACAGCTTGCAAAAATGTCGTGCCCTGAAAGTCTCTACTCGCCTTTATGCTGTCGTCGCATTTGTGTACCTTCTAATATCACTATTTCTCATTCCTCTTGCTCTCTCACTCTCTACATATGTCTCACTTATTTCGAGTAGTAGCATTAATATTTTCTCTGATTTAGTTCTTTTTCTCTCATTTCTGTCTTTTCGTCGTATTGACGCATCTTGTAATTTACTTGTTTTCATTCCTCTTGCTCTCTCCCGTACTGCATATGTCTCGCTTGTTTTGACTAGTAGCATTCATTTTCTCGCTGTTTTGATTTCTGCTTCTCATAATTGCTTTCTCTCTCTCAAGTTGTTCTCTTGTTTTGCGCAGCGGTTCGGGAAGATATATAGTCGTGCACATTCTTGTTTGCCCTTCATACCCAGTCCAATTCAACAAGAATACAATCTCGAAGGTAAGTCATAGACTCTCTGATCTTTCAATATTTTCTGCAATAGATAGCTAGTCAAACGAAACAAGGCTAGTCAGAAAATAGTTCGTAGCTGTAATATCGAATAACGAATCATGATTACTCAGATTTCATCACATGCACTCTCAAAATGTAAGAATAACCGACAGCATTGATCAGGTCTTTACTGATGAGCAGAGATCACCATATCTAAAACTTCTGAGATCCGAACCGATCCTCCTCTTGGTACTCTCAACGAAATTCTGTAGCACGCCTCCGAAAGAGGTTTCGCAAATCTAAGGCACTTTTTTCTATTACCTGTATTCTGAAAGGAATTCAAAGTATACATTACTCAGACAATTGATGTGATGATCTCATAAAAATCAAGTAATAACTAGTTCTTGCTTTAAGAAAACCACCTTCCGCGTCGGATGTCAGTCCCACCAAGATTTGGACGCAAATAGGAAAAAAACATGGACAATAGTTAATCTGCAAGGCCAGACCGAAGCCTGTATTCAGATCGGTACCGGTATCCTGATCGACGCCCAGATTCGGACTCGTAAATGGTCAACAGAGAATCTACAGTCCGCAATCCGGCGAATAAAAAGCATCCAGGGCAGACCGATCCTCATTACCCTGATCGGTACATAGACTACTACCAGAACACCAACTAACAGTCGGTACTCTGTGCCACTCGTATCCAGATCGATACCGAACTCGTATAGGGTCAACAGAAGATCTTCTAGACTGGCTGCAAATCATAGAGATCTTCCAGTAACGATATGATCAGAAGAAAAAATACAGACCTCTATCCTCAGCCGAAAACGGTTGGGTGCGGGCAAAGTTTCGTGCCATATCAGAAAAGGAGTACTTATGAGAATCGAAAATCTTCGCAAACCAATAACCACTACGAGGATCGCTCTTGCGATTTCTGCTATGAAAATTTTTTTTTAGAAACATACAGTAGTTTTGCTGTCCGAAACTTTGTGTTTCTCGAAACACCAAGCATGTGAAACCTTCAGTACATCGAAACATTACAGGGATTCGAAATAGCAACCACTTCAGTCGAGATTCAGTAGTAAACTAACTGATATTATTTTCCTTACAATTGTCTCGTCATTAAAAAAAATAGAATATCATGTTCATCTCTTGAGAATTTATATAGAACACATGTAGAAATAAATATTGAATATAAAATAAAGAACGATTAGAATTTTGATAGTACGTTATTACTCTCTTTTTGAAGACCCTCTTTTGTTCTTATGAATAAAAGACACAGTAAAAGAAAATTTCAGTTCAAAATAGATAAAAATACATTTTTATGCATCATGTTTTTTTGTTTGGTTCCATTTTATTATTTTTGTTTTGTATAATAAATATAAACTTATCACTTTTATTTAGATGTCATTATTTAAACATAAATCAGCAACTAATGAAGATGTTGCAGGTGGTGGTGATTGTTCAATGTTTGGTCTAACACTTGATCAACTTAAAGAACTTATACAATTACGTGGAAAAGAATTGATGGAAAAACTTAATTCATCAGATTATAATGGTGTTGAAGGTGTACTAGAAAAATTAAAAGTTGATAAAAACAAAGGACTTGATTCAAATAATCAACAAGATCTTGAACAACGGCGTATAGCTTATGGAAAAAACCAAATACCACGAAAACAAATATCACATATACCATTAACTAGGTATGTACTTCATAATATGTTATTCCCTAGACTGAAAGTATAGGGTCTAGAAACGGAAATTCGCCTGTGTCTGTCTGTCTGTCTGTCCGTCTGTCTGTCTGTCTGTCTGTCTGTCTGTCTGTCTGTCTGTAACACGTATGGTTACCATATGGTAACTATGTGATCGTTAAAATAAAAATAAATATATATTTCGAATGGCGCGCAAAGCCAATAAAATAAGATTTTCTTTCTATTCCCAAGACTGAAAGGCTAGCGTCTAGAAATCGAAATTCACCTGTGTCTGTCTGTCTGTCGGTAACGCAGTCAAAATGGTCATTTTTTGGCACACGTGACCATTTTTATGGCATAAACGACCACTTTTTTGGCACAAGTGACCATTTTCGTGCCACAAATGGCCATTTTTTTGGCACAAGTGACCATTTTTTTGGCACAAACGGCCATTTTTTTACTAAAATTAACTAGGTAACTATGGTACAAATGAGCATGTAACTATGGCACAAACGGTCATTTTTTTGGTAGAAACGACCACATAACTATGGCACAAGTGACCATATAGCAATCATGGTACAAACAACTATTCCGGTAACTATGGTACAAATGACCATCTAAAGACTGATGTAAATGAACCCATAATAATCATGGGTAAAATGTCAATGGAATAACTATAATTTGGGTAGTGATGTAAAACGGCTTACTTACACAAGCATTTAATTAGTGAGAGTCAGACCAAAAGAGCAGTATGGATTTAAAGAAATCGTTAAAATTATTCATTATTGTAAGATTGATTGTGCAATGTTGTATCAATGAATATCTAATTTATTAATAGTTTAGAATTAATGCGTGAATTTAAGCATAAAATATTGATTAATAAAACTCAAATTTTATGAATAATATAATTCATATTTTTGTACGTACAAATAGCGCCAATATAATTATAAAAAAATCGTATTGTTGTCTAATCTTATTGGGCGCTATTTATATTCATAAAAGCAAAAAAAAATAAAACAAAAATGATAAAAAAAAATTAAATTTGTAAATGCATCATCTTTACTTAGAGTGAGAATTCTCCAAATTAAGTTTTCTGGTCGCCTAAGGTATACTGGTCATATTATCAATGTTGCGTATTACTTTTTTAATGTAGCTTTTTATGCTATTCCATCCGTACATGTATTCTATCAGTCTAGGGCTAAGTGAATCGCTTGACGATGAACGTTACTTGTTAATTATTTTATTAATATGTAGTATTGTTTTAATTGTTCTCTCATTTTCTAAATCATCTAAAGAAGAAAAAGAAAGCAGTAAAAATAAATGTCAGTAGTGTATAACTACATATATATATACGGATAGATGAATACATACATAGAATGTTGATTGATTTCTGTGACAACGAAAATAGATACTTATATTGATCAATAAGACTAAATTCTCCAGAATAGAGAGCCACCTCATCTTAGGAGATCACGCCTGAACAAACCTTCATCTATCTTATTAGAAGGTCATGCACTATTTAATTAATTAGTTACAATAATAATCGTTTTTTTTTCGAAATATTAATTTATAATTAGCCAAATATTGCCATTTTTTTAAATATTTTACAGAGAAATCGCTCTATATTCTATCATTTATAGCATGTTTTTACACGAAAACGGTAGTTTCTCGTGAAAAATACTGGAAAAACATTAATTAGTATTTTTATTTTTTAAGATTTTTAATTAATAATTGATCAAAAGTTGACTTCAAGAGAAGGCCATCCAAAAAGTAACGATGTGCGGATGCATTGTATAAGTACATGGTCTTATTTTCTGGTCGAGTTAATGTTATTAACAATTGATTGCTTCTATTCACTTTCTTTTCCTTCCTTCTGTTGTCATATGTAAGATGTATTTTGTGTACATGTAAATACTTGACGTCTAGCTTCTCTGAAGAAATTGATTTCGGAACATTTGGAAAGAATCTTAATTGACAAATTTTCACATTATACTAATAAAAATAAATGTCTGAATTAAAAAAAGAAACATCATAATGATAATAAAACAGATGCTACTGACGATGGAGAAGAAAAAGAATATTATTTACGTTAAAGGTAATAATGCAATCATTTCTTTGATATTAACTAAGCTTTATATAAAGAAAAGATAGCTTTACACGAAAAGATTTATACATTTCCATATATTTATTCAATCTTTTTCTATAAAAATTCTTGTATAGCAAATGTTTATTTGAGTAGATTATAGAAACTAGAATCCATTAATTGTGAATGTTCATTTTTTTTTGTTTTTGTTTAATTCAATTATGATTTTTATCAATTGGAACTAGGATTAAATTTGAAAAAATATAATGATTAAACTAAATTTTCTTTTATCGATAAAATGTAATATAAAGAAAAGAAACTTTATAATCTTTTTGGATGAGAAAACGAATTATCTTGTGAAAAAATCTTGTAAAATTTAAATAAATAATTTTATGTCAATAAGTCTTGAATGGATTTGAGGTATAGCTATTCTTGTCTTTGTACACTGTAACTATATTTAGTGCATGGAGAAGAGAACATCAATTTCGTCATGCAGTAGAAGAAAGTGATAAAACTCCAACATCTGTTTTGCGTGATAAGCGTATACAACAAATTCCTGTTATAGAACTTGTTGTTGGTGATTTGTGTTTTATAAAATCTGGTAAAAATGATAAATAAATAAATAATTAATATTATTTGTTTTTGTTTTTTGAATCTTTATTTTTAGGTGATTTTTTACCAGCTGATGGTTTAATTGTTCAAGCAAATGATCTTAAAGTTGATCAATCTTCTATAACAGGTTCATATTTTTCTTTTTTTTTTATGAATCTATCAGTATAAATTTAAACAATGTGTCTTCTTTATAGGAGAAACTGATTTAATAAAAAAAAATCAAAATGAAGATGTTGCACTTTTCTCAGGTACAGAGGTGAAAGAAGGTAATGGTCAAATGGTTGTTATTGGTGTTGGTCCTAATTCTTATGTAGGATATGTTGTTAGTTTACTTCAGGCACCAGCAGATAGTTGAAAAAATAACAACGAAGAAGGAGAGAAATAAAAATATATGAATCAAATATATATAATAAAGTTAATTCTATTTTTATGTTACTCTTGTGCCTATTTCACTTTCAATATATTCAATAAAATAAAAATAATAGAATTTAGATTTCGAATATCAAGTGCTTCATATTGAATTTCCAATGATAAATAAAACAATTCTAAACATTGTTTACTGGAAAGATTTAGACCAGACTCTCGAAATTCAAATCGACGAATAATTTTTGAGTGGAAACATCAATAAAGACGCTCACCAACTGAATTTGAATGAGTATAAATGAAGTGATCGATCGAAAATGTTTTGTAACTGAGATGAAACATTTTTACTAGAATTATTGTGAAATACTATATAGTACAGTAAGTGAAATCAAAAAGGCATACTTAGTCTGTTTGTTCGGATACAATTCTAGAAAGATATATTCAAGATTAGAAGATAGGAAGATTTCTTCATTTATAGCAAATTCATTGTGGATAAGAGTATAATCAATGATTATTGTGATCAGAACAAGTTGATCTTATCAAGATACCGTCGAATATTTCAAAATGGGAAAAAGAATATGATAGGTAATGTAACAAGATAAATAAATTTATGTTTGAGCACAGAACTCCAATGGCATCGAATAAATCATTGATGGTCATTGATTCATAATATGCTTCGAAATGAATCGATCAATTGATCGATTTTTTGTTTTTTGTTATCGTTTTGATTGAGATCAATTTCGATTCTTAACCGAAAAACTCTTAATCTCAATAAATAATCATTACTAATTTGTGCCGATCTATGTCTATCCTAGCGAACGCTTATTGTATTAATTATTAAACGATACAAGTCGAACACGTTTTTCAAAAGATTAATCAATGCATTCGAAGGTTCATTAACATTAATTTTTAATGTGATCAATGATAAAACAAGAGATAATCAGTATATATCATCAACTGAATGATACAACCAATTTAGGCTAAAATATCGAAGAAGGTGTGGATGTCGGTAAAGAGAAGAAGCACATTCACACCTACATCGCATCGTATTCGGTATTGGAACAAAGAAACACATTGTCTGATGAGAAAAGATTTTTGTAAGTATCTCGTCCATGTGACGATCTGATATCTATTGTTATTTCGTAAAAAATCATTTTATTAATAGGCACCTTTTATGCTTACAGGAGACCTACGATGTTATTCATCTCCAAATCTCTGATTTAGACCATATAATGTATCATCTGTTTTCCGAAAATGCTTTTATTGATTGTGAATTTTCCTTTGTGAGTATTATTATTTATTAAAAATCTAAATCTACAACTAATAAATATAGTAGCATAAATCAGTCGTGATAAGAATTATATTGAAGTACGCAAATATATACAAAAAAAAATTAATTAGTTTCTTTGTAATAATCAATAATAAATATAATAGCGACAGATATTCAAAATGGCTTGGTTGAAAATTTGCGATAGTATTTTCTCTTTGACAAACGTATTTCTCAGCCATCAAAGCCGCAATCACAACAGGGTGGCTGATCTGGCCTCAAAACAGGAAGGCAGCAATCACAATTAGTATTACAGCGTAAACAGTTCCGGTTACATCTTGCAACGTTACTTCCCTGGGATGCATTGACCATTCGAACATTTGCAATTGCAGGCTATAGTTCTTCCATCGACAATAGCAAGATTATTTGTGATAACAAGTAATATCATAAATATTAACCAATAATGAAAACGATCCATTTTAGTAATATTCAATAATATTCTTCTTGGATTAAAAATTCTATGATGATTGCAATACTAATGGGATATATATGTATATAAATACTATTCAGAAAAATAAACGCATGACTTTCGCAAAACAAAAATATGATGCCAACTTATATTATGTATTCATCAAGGTGATATACGCAGTTATATATACGTCATTTTGTCTTCTTTTCATTCTTTTTTCTGTTATTTATCATGTGACATCCATCTATATTGGGTGTGCCAAAATGTCTACAATTTTTTTTTATTTCGTACATATCTCGTCTTAGATAAATGATAGAACGTTGAATTTTTTTTAAAATACGCCATAACGACCTCTACAAAAAAAAAGGTCTAAACAAACCCTTATTGACTTGTTCAGATGGTCCACTTTATACTCTAAATCAATAATCTACAAGATAGTACTATTTTTCATCGTATTGAGCATGATAAAAAATGTTTCGAAGACTATTTTGTTTTGCAATTGCGGTTTATTTGCACAAATTTTTTAGAGCTTTTCATAGCACAGCCTAAAAAAATTCAGAATAACTAAGTTTTTCCAAAAAAAAAAGAAGAAAAGATCATTCATTAATGAAATATCAATGAGATAAGGGATAATTCAACTGAAAACCTATTTTTCTCCACTAGATCACTTGTATGAAATATTATTCTCGACTCTATTGATATCAGTGTATGTATCATTGCTATTTGTGGATTATTATACTTATCTTGATACCTCATCAATGAATAAAGTCCAATGACAAAACTCTTTATTCTTCTTAGTTTTAAAAATATTGCTTTTTGCATTATTTATTTCAATGAGCGAAAATAGACTTCGGTGATTCTAACAGTTATCTAGAACTGCAATTATTAATTTATCAGAGAGATACAAGAATTTCGAGTATATTTTGAGAAATTCTCACTATTTAATTGTTGAGACTAACGATGCCACATATTTCAATACTTAAGGACAATAACATTATTCGTATATACCAAAATCTTTTATCTCAAGTACGAAAAAATGAAGTTGTCTCGACTTAGGTTTCACAAATTTTCGATATATTTGAAGGTTAATGGTTTTAGTTTCTTATGAACCATTGAACTCTAAGCAAAGATCATATTAATTCAAATATATATCTCAAATGCATAATAATACATCTTTTAAAAGTCCTATTGGTTAACTTTTATTCTTATTGATTTAGTGTGTTCGAATATATTTAAAGCTTCTCATCAGGTTTTTCTTCTAATAATTTATTACATGCGTGGTTTTTTTTAGCATTGCAATATTTGTGTATTTGTAACTATAATAAGTTATTCTTATTCATACTATTGCATATCATTTATTTCGTTGCCACACTCTCAAGAGATGAAAATTCTCCAGTCATATCATTGATAATCCAATAAAAATCATCAACTTCAATGAATTCTCATTTATTATTCTGAATCGAACAGAATTTTCATCTCATTGATTAACCTCTGTGGTTCAATTAAAAGAAAAAACAATAAATTGATATTTTGAATCCAAGATCATATGTAATAAAGACATTCGTTTTTTGTATAAAAAAAAAGGATATTCTCAATTTTATACAACAAAGAATCACTTTTAAGGTGAAATGTCTTGTCTGAAATCAATTTCAATCTTATTTCTATTCTGTTCAAATTCTCTTCAACTTCATACAGCATTTGCTGATTATTTTCAGATACATGCCACAACGAAATTCTTGTTTGAATGTAATGAACGATAATATATTAGCAGCGAATCTAAGTAGGAACATTTGATTAAGTAGGACGATGGCTGTCAGAACTGATCGGTAAGCCGTATTGAATCCAAGTCAATGTAAATGCAATGTTTCTCGCTCACTATTCATAAAAGACAAATATTTCTTTATATACCAAACAATAGAGAATTTCAAGTTCTACAAAATTAAAAATCTACTAGAAGTATTATTCACAGTGAGTCTAAAAGGATTTTTAAAAATTGAAGTTTTTTTTTTAAGTTAAAATTCAATTGCAAAGTCTTTAGTTTTTGTATTAAAACATGCAAAATGTTGTTCTCTGCTAATTCACGAAAAAATAGACAAGCCCCAAATGGATGTAAAATTCAGTTTTCTGTTTTTTTTCCTAACCTTTTACCTGAATAAACATACATCAAACAGTTTAGCTTTGAGTCTCTTATACAAATGGTAGTTTCTGTTTTCTTTCAAATCGTATAGAAAGCAAAATCTTCTCTATCATTTTCGAAAGGATTTGTATGTATTCAATTCAAAAAGAAAATAACAATCAACCAGTAGTAATTTGCCTTGAAAGGTGAAGCGACCGATGGATTTGGTCCTATTTCGTTTTGATTTACATTTGGTTCTGACAATAACAACGGATTCGATGGTTGAGACATAGATGATGAAGGATGAGGTGACCACGACAAGATGAATGTTGAATAAGATTCTTGAGATACAAGATGTGTTGATTTAGACGTTTGTGTCACTGGACGTGGTGAGTTAGATGTTTGAAGTACAAATACCGATGGATCACTCATATTGTACGCATCGTACCATGTACCCAGAGCAAAGTGGCGCGCCATTTCAGATGCCTAAAATCGTCAGTAAGAAAAATAAGAGAGATGATACAAGAACGTCTTCTCTGTTGTCTAAAGCTTTTGTTAAATCGAAACTAAGTATTGTCCATTTAAAAATAAATTTTACTCGGTTGTTTGTTGAATAACTTGGCAATGCTGTTAGCTATTGGATTGCGATTTACATCGTTAGGAAGAAACTGGGTGAGGATACCCATTTAGCTAAGAATCAAAGAACTTCAACAGCTTTATAGGAGTTGTTGGAAAGCTTTTTTATATACCACTGACTAACTCTTTTGATCACATACTTTCTTAATTTCAATGTAGCCTAGCATCTATTCTCTCAATACTAAAATTTTCAGACTTTTTAAACCTTTCCTTGAGATACAGGAAAAAAATCTCTTGAAATCAACTGACGATAAATTTTCGCCTCCGATTTCTCTACTATAAAGGGTTATGTATTTTAATCTTGTCGATGTATTTCACCATTAGTTAGAGCTATAGAGTTGAAACTTTCAGAAATAAAAGATCTTGATTAGATGTATATGTGATAAAAATTTCAGCTCTCTGCGTCAAGAAAAAGTATAGAAAATATTATTAACAATTTATCCTCAGGTTTTTAAGACCCTTTATAGTTAAGAAATTGGAGGCGAAAATTTATCTTCAGTAGATTTCAAGAGATTTTTTTCCTGTATCTCCAGGAAAGATTAAAAACGCCTGAAAATTTTAGTATTGAGAGAGTAGAGTTTGGGCTACAATTAGACTAAATTGAAATTAAGAAAACATGTGATTAAAAGAGTTAGTCAGTAAATAGTCTCTTGCTAACAGTGAAAATCCCAATCCAATAGCTAAAAGCATTGCCGAGTTATTCAACAAACAACTGAGTGCATTTTATTTTGAAATGGACAGTAGTTTCTTTGCTAATCAACGAAAAGATTTATAACTATTCACTTTTATATCTTGTCAGTATTGATGGATGAAAAGGAAACATCCATATTTGGTTGTATCAAATGTTCGTTTTCTTTTTTTTTTATCGAAAAAAATGCATTCAAAATTCGTTACATTGCTACAATAATCGATTTTTGAGAGGTGAAAATTCTTTGAGATACATGCCTAAGTGAATCAGATAAAACTTACTCTTTGTAAATTTGTTTCACTATTGCAGTTCGATTTTTTGCATGAATAACGATAGATGAATGCTTCTTTGATTGACTCCGGAACTATAGCTGTGCCGCGTACAATATTGAATCGATAAAGAAAATCAGCAGAGAGTTGATCGATCGAGCTACAACTTTTCATTGCGAGTGTATTAATACTTAGTTTCATAGCTGCACATCGAGATGCGCCAGTATTGCATATCTCCGTTTGATTAAATTTATTCTGGCACCTACATATGAAAAATCACAAGGAAGAAATGTGCAAGAAATTTTTCAAAAAACAAAAAAAAAACCTTCTTCTCTTACAGTTCTCATTCAAATAATAAAACAACGTCATAGAAAAGGTATCGAATATGCAATAGATGTACTTTATGGTATGTTACTGTTACTCTCTATATAATTGAATAAAATATAATTTATTCACAAACAGAAATTAGAATTCTTCCTTTCAGAGTTTTCCATCTTGTAGTATCTTCTTTTGTGATTTCTACACTTACGTGAGTTTAGTACCTAAGGGTGGTTTCGGTTCGTTGAATAGAGCTGCAAAACTGCTCGAATTGAAAGGTCTCAATTTGTTGGATACCAACTGCGGAAGAAGTCGACGAAGTTCGTTCAGTGCACAATCGTTGTTATATTGACACTCGATACGTGTAATCATTGTCACATTATGTTCTTGCATCCAACCGATAATTTCGTATTGGATGACACTGTCAGCAGTGGGATTTAATTCTAACATGTTCATTGAAAAATTCGTCGATGAGTGACTTCGATTGATTTCAGTAAAGTTGATCTGCATCCGACCGGTATTATAATTGATTGTGATCGAAGAAAAACATGAAATCAATACGGGAATAACAATGACAATCTTGTTCATTGTACAATTGTGTAGTTCGTCAAGTAGTGCAGCTGTATCAGGTAACGACTGATTAATAGAAAATGTAAAGGAGCACTGATTATTCATGCCACTGTATTTTGGTCCAATACATGTAAGTGAATTTTGAGAATATACGTCAACGATCGATACGAAGATAAATAGAAAGAGACTGATGGAAAACATTGTAGATTGATGAAATAAAATCATTGAATGACAGAGCGCCATTCTCTAGTGAATATGTTTTTGCTCTTCGTTGCTTATAAATTAGTAATCAGAGATGTTCAATTTTTTATTCATGAATCATTGTCATTTTATTTACTCATCTGTGAAAATCGATTAGATAATGTAGAAATAAATTAAGTAAAGACATTTAGAATTATTTTGTCAATGGGATAATTGCATTGGTATTGAAAGTGTACCGAGTGAAAAAATTCGACACATACGATAGAACAAATGATTACATGTTCCAAAACTATAAAATATAAACGCTTTGTGCAAAGAAATATTCTGACACTAAATAAAAAAGTGTTCAATTTAGAGTGATCATTTGGATTGTTCTAATTGCGGAAATGATCTTAATTCTTCGCTTGAATACTCTGCAAACCTTTCGTCTTATACTCATCGAAATGAAACATCAAACCCAATACTATAAAATAAAAAAAAACGACTTTCATATGGAAGCAGGAACGAAAAGTTCAAAATGTAAAATGTCCCTGAACAGAGAGCACCAAATTTCTAAGTAGTTCGTCTTCGTATGCCACATTACAGTATATACTTGATGAAGAACGAGATACTTAAAGAAAAAGAGTACTTATGACAAGCCATAGTTTTTCAGATTGATTATATCTCACATAAAAAATCATCTATTTCGACTGTAAATGTCAGCCTTGTTTTAATCACAATAGACTCGACTTCTAGGTTATAGTTCAGGCGCATCACTATTTGCTAATTCTATTGGCAAATTACAAAGGAAGTGATGCTTTTTCATAGGTTTGTACCCCTTCTCTCGCAAGGTTTCTTTTCGTTCCAATATTTTTTGGTTGTGGGTAGTATGAAGATGTAAAATCACTCAACCAGACCTTGGACATTATTAGTCTTAGCAAAAAAATCAATATTTTAGAGGACGATCATTTACATAGGAAAATACCAGAAGCTAGGGAATATTTAGAGGTTTCTGAAGTCGAAAATTGGTTTTTATATAAAATGAGTATGATATTCGGAATCAGCATGAAAAACTACACTAGATAGTCGATTTTTCATTGTATAATATTTTCCATGAAAATCTGACCCGTAGGGGAACCAGGGGTCAGGTTTTCATGAAAAATATTCTATAATGAAAAATAGACTGTCTAGTGTAAGTTTTCATGCTGATTCTGAATACCATAATTATTTTACATAAAAACCAACTTTCGACCACAGAAACCTCTAAATATTCCCTAGTTTCTGGTATTTTCCTATATAGATGATCGTCCTCTAAAATATTGATTTTTTTGCGAAAACTAAAAATGTTCATGGTCCAGTTGCATGATTTTATATCTTCATACTACTCACAACCAAAAAATAATTGTGCAAAAAGAAAAACTGCCGTGGGGGGAGGGTATTAGTACCACTTCCGTTAGCTCAAATAGATGCGCATTAGTGAAATAACTAGTTTTTGATAAAACAAGTTCTTCTATTCCTTTCCAATCTGCTTCAAGAAATCGTTAATGGTAGTTTCGACTGAAATATAATTATCATAGAATATATTTCTTTTCTGCATCGGTAACCAACAACATTGATTGATATGACCTTATCCCTTTGAGTACCGGCGATGCGAATTCGCGTCCTGATAGTTTAGGGTCTAAATAACTTTAGAAAACATGATCGTTTTATTATTTTATGATATGAATTACATGAATATTTGCGTTTAGGATATTTATACGGTTAAGACTATCTGTACCTAGTGATGAATATTGGTTGTTCCCTAATATTTCTATCGATCACTATATGATTCAATGAATTAGAACATAAGTCATTGGACAACATTTCCCAAGAAAGAATAATCGTTATCAGCAGGATTTTTCATATTAACACAGTCATTCAAGAGTGTTATCTATAGTAATGGTTCTGATCAATTGATCACATTTGATAACATTTTCCTTCGCGCATTGAACCAACAGAGACTCAACTAAATCCAAGAAGAAAATGTTACGTTTGTGCCAATACTGTGAGAAGAACCAGATCAAGAAGAGATACTTTGTATGAATGCATTGAATATGATGTAGGATTGTATCTTATGGATTGTTTTAAAGACTATCACACTCTACAAGCATTTTAATTCATGTACTTTGTGATATTTTTTGCGAAATAAACGTTAGTTTGAAATTGTAAAAATTTTTATTATATAAAAATAATCCGATACTCAAATGATTAAATGCCCGTTTTACCAAGTTAATTTGATAACTTTGATCAATATGCTTAGAAAATCATTCAAATGAAATGCTTTGAATTTTTTAACTTCTTCAGAATAGTATTTACTGTCTGAGTCAACATCAACTCACCATATTTATCAAAAGACAGAACTGATGTCATCTACGCGAGTTGATATTTAACTTCGAATTTCGAGTGACATTAACATATTCACTGTTTTGTTAAGAGGTAACAATATTCATCTGATCAGTCTTTGTGTACTTCCGTTATTTTTTCGATATATGAAATCGCTATTTGTAGAGGACTAAATGCCGTCATCAGTCAGTACGTGCTCGACATATCAGTTAGAAAATGAAACTTTTTCCAATTTATACGACCGATTATTATTTTGTTAATTCGACGCTGACTGGCAAGATCACCAAGACAGTTCGTTGATCAACATCATTCAACTTGAGAGATATTGTTTTCTATAATGAGGTATGTGAAGCTGTTTCACTCTAAAAAATAAACATTTTGAAACAAATATCTTGACAGTGCTAGCTGGTACCGAATATCATGTACTTAATCAATATACGTAGCAGTTTTATATATTTTCAGTGTGTATGGATTACTTTACTTGTTGCTGTATAGAGTGTTTGCACAATGTTATTCCTATACTGGACAGTCGACAAAGCGCAGTGCTTATCTAGTTCTATTCAGTCATTTAGTGAATATGAATCGCCAATTGAATTGGAACTTGACATAATTAATATGTGTTGGAGGGCCAACGAAGAAGAAATCATATTCGGATTACATATGAAAACGCTTGGCTGGATTGCACTTGGATTAAGTCCAGGTAAGAGAACAAATTTCAAGTGAATTTTTTCTATAAAATTGTTTGTTTGTCTATTAGGGGGAGGAGTGGGAGGTGCAGATATTGATGTTGGATGGATTTCAGATGGAAAAACTCATTTCAAGATACGAATAGGTATCATTTTTTGCGATTTTTCAGCCATCTGATGGGCTTTTTATTCGATTCAGGATAGTTTTTCTTCTGGATTTACTATACCAATAATTGATAACACAACAACAGATTGGTTTGCTTTGAAAGAAAAAGAAGAATATAGTTGGACTGCAGTCCAATTCAAACGAAAACTTGATACGTGTGATCCGATAGTTGTTGCAATCAAAGTCAATGATTAGTATATGCATCTAGGAAAATAATTCTATCTAGTTACTGTATTGTTATTTTAGTTTGACACTAATACTTTAATCTATGCTTATGGTTTGAAAGATCCCAATCCGAATATAAGTTATCATGAAACAAGAAAAGGGAACCATATATTATGGTTATTAGGCTATGTAAATCCACTGCATGAATCGAAATTTGATGTCCTGGAAACATATGAATTCAGATTTGATAATGTAAGTGATGCAACAACTAAGTTGAGCCGTTACCAGTACAAGTACAGCGGTCGAAAAAAAGTTTAAGACACCTTTTGTTTTTCGAATTTTTCTATGAAAGACGACTCATTATTGACATCGAAATAGTGATTTTGATAGTTCTCGAAACGAGCTACAATGTTGAGATACAAACTATTTTTTAGGCTCAGTTTTTTGAGCTTTTAGTATACGAATGTTTTGGCTCCAGCGGAGAAAAGTTTAAGGCACTTTAAATATTTCATTAAATAGTTTTTATTATTAAACAATCACTCAAATTGAGTAGAACCTGGCACAATTGATTTCCTGTGTGGCACAAGTGAGGGAACGAATAGTTGTCCATCTTAAGTTTTGAGAAGTTCATTCCTACCAGTTTTGGACGCCTTGGATTCCAATCAGGTGAGGGATAAGGATGTATCGCACATCAATCGATAGATTTCATTGAGTGCGATCTGGCACAATTGATTTCGCCACTGACACAGGTACAGAAGCGGATGTTTCCTGGAAATACTGATTTTTTTAAACTTAAAATAGCGTTTTAACAGTAGTATTTTGAATATTTCAATCGTTTCCCAAGTAGAAAATTTTTGAAAAGTAGTAGGTTCTACAATATATTCGGTGCTCTATCTGGCGTAACCGTTATCATTTCTGGCACAAGTATGTTTGTGAATGTTTTTCGAAAAAACACGAATCTGCTGCTAACTTTACTTGCATAAAAAACTAAAGAGTCCTATTGTCTTTAATAATATTTTGAACACTACCTTATCAATTAAAAAATAGGAGGTGGATGTGACTGTACGTGTAGTCGAAAGAAATATCTACACTCATACCCATACCCACACTCACACCCACGCAAATGATTTAAATCTAATATTACGAAGAAAAATGCCAGATTACTAGTTATTGAATTAGAAGCTGGTACAATCGTTTCAACAGTTCGAATAGAAAGTGAAGCAGCATTTATTGATCAAAGATGGGTAGCTGATTTTATTCGTATTAATCCATTAGTGGAATATTCGATAATTAATTTCTATTACAAAAAGAACGGTAGAGGACAACCAATAGAAATTGTTCTTGATGCATTAACAGCTTTGATAGTAGTCGACGAAGCAATCAAGAAGAAATTGAAAAAGGAAATATTACATTCTCGAATGAATCTTCGCAAATAACATGAAGAACCCTTTTTTTATATAAAGATATGATAACCTGCAAGTCATCAATGTATTTATAATAATAAAATAATCGGGTAGCGTATATAATATATTTTTGTATGTGTAAAGAAAATAAACCTTGCCCAGATCGAAGCTACCCAATAGGATCCTATCGGATCCGACTGTCGGAAACCATCATCATCTCTCAATTTTCGAGGAATTTCGACAACGGGAACTTGACCGATCCGACAAAATCCAGCGGTATTAAAGTACTTAGCTTTGCTTTTTGGTGATTCTTAGACAAGATGTGAAATATTGATTAATCTTAACATTCAAATCAACAAGAAATATTTAATCAAATAAATAATTTTTTTTTAATTTATATTTATGCCAACATCGAAATGACTTGTATGTATTTCATTAAATAAATAATTTTTTTTCTTTATTTAGATTCATCTCAACATCGAAATGAATAGTAAGTATTTAATTAGTACTATAACTGGTAAAAAATCATATTTATCTGATATATTATAGAAACAACATGATAGAATTAGAATTGGGACATCTGCCCAGACTAACCAGCACCATATATATACTGCTTTTTACAAAATAAAAAGCTGATAAGTAAAGCATCAATGTTGCAAGTAGTATTTGGTATACCTGTAGAAATCTGGCAGAATCCTATCGGATCCGGTGCTGTCCAACTGCTTTCGATTGTCGGAAACCGTCGGATCCGACAGCTTCCGATTGGAATCGTATACCAAGGAATCCGACAATTTTCTGTATCTTCCGACAGGAATTTGATAACTTTCAATGGGATTCTATCGGAAATTATCGGATTTTGTCTGGAATTCTATCGGATCCGGGTGTCGGCTTCTTCGTCCTGGGTACCTGTATACCATGATTTGCACATTTCATATTGATTTTATCACAATGGAAAGCTTCTTACAGTGATGTCAATATCCTTTCATTTTCTTTTTCCAACTGAAAATGATGAACAGATGTTGAATGTGATCGTATGATTATCTGCCGAAGAAACATATCTTGTTAATAATTATTAGAAAAGAAAATTTATTATCATAAAATATTTGTCAATTATTTAGTTTCATAGATTTTATAGTTTTTTCTCAATTATCACCATGATAGGAAAGTTATCATTAACATATTGGGCACGATGTGGCCCACCGGTAGGCCACGCTATAGCTTAACGAGAAACTGTATAGAATAGCACTTTCTTTTGCTTTTTTCTTAGGCAGAAGGTTAAACATTAGGTGTCATCTATTCTACCTTCAGCACTTTATTTGAGTCCTTTATTCCATAGCATAATGCTTATTATTAAAACACTCAGGACAAAAAAATTTATCACAGTCAGAACAGAAAGTTTTTACTTTCTTTGCTGCTACATAGCTCGCCTCTCTTGACTGTTGTGGTCTTCCCTTCGCATAGCAGCCACTGCACCGTCTGCCAACATTGCGCGTAGATCCGTTCTTTTCTTCGAGCTTGTGACCAGCGAGTCTGCACTTCGAATGACCTGCTGATTGTCGTCTTGGATTGGGTTTCAGCTTCTCGATTGGCGTACCAAGGAGTAAAGATCGTACAAAACTTTCTCGAAACTGTAAAATTTGTATGTCGCTTGCAGTATAATTTTCCTTGTAAATCAGATAATCATTGAGTGCATTCACTAGAAGTGAACTGTCCATGAAAATGAACATTTTGCAAAAATTTTTTAAGAAAACTGAATCGTGTCCAATGTGTTAAGATGATATCGATTTGCTGTTGATTGAATTATAATAATTTCAAAGTATTATATTAAACTCATAGGAAATTATAATCAGCAGATACAAGTTCTTTTTGAATATAAATTATCGAGATGATTTCATAGTATATTTTTCGAGATTTTTTTTGTATAGAGATTGTTTGAATACACAAGTATATTGACAATGATGTTTCTGATAATGTTAGACAATATGCAAATTGAAAATAATTACGATCAATAAATCATGAAAGAGATAAGAACAGAAAACTCATTATTAATATATTGTTTTCATTATCATCATTTAAATTATGAGTTTTTCAGTTTTACAAAAGAACTTTCATCTTTTCGCAAAAAAAAAATTCATAATATATATTGAAAATCTGTTAGAAATAACTCTTTCAGATCATTCCATTCTTCTAGAATAGTTATGTATCGCTTTCTTATTTTACTTATCTGCTTGATTCAACCTCCTGATTCTTTGAATACTGTTCAAATTCTTGGTCTTTTTCCTAAACATCGCAATGTATTTTCTCGGTATTTGAACGCAAATCAAAATTCTCATTGGTCAATTCAATCTATGGAAATGTTTCGCACAGCTATTATTCTTGCTGATCGCTACAAGATCTATGTGGATGGTCATCCTATCAATGGCACTATTCTTCAGACAAATACAAATAGTAATGGTTTTGCTGAACTTGAGCTTGTCTGTCGATCAATTACTAATACAACAGAACACGATGTTCTAGGTGTTGTTGGACCAACAAGTTCAACTAGTGCACGTTATCTTGCTCCATTTGCGGCACATATAGGTTTACCCCTTGTATCTTATACGGCAAGTAATGCTGATCTTGACGATACATTTAATTATCCAACATTTTACCGTACTATCCCTTCGGATATTCTTACAGCTGAAGCTATTGTGAAATTGTTCAAATATTATTCGTGGATAACTTGTTCAATGATTATAGGAAATGATGATTATGGTTATGGTGGATTGAAACTATTATCAGAAAATTATTATGCAAATTTGTCTATTCAAGAGCGATTAGTATTTGATCCACGAGTCGATAAATTTCAAGCTGATTTAAAGCAAACATTAGAAAAAAGTCGATCTCGTATTATACTAGTCTGGGCTAATCATAGTTCATCTACAAGAATTATTCAACATGCACTTTATGCAAAACTTCTCGGTACAAACTACATATGGATAACAACAAATATGGTAAATATAAAATATTTTAATTTTTAAAAGTTTATCCATTTTTTGAAAGAACTTAAGGGATTATTGAAAGCAAAATCTACAGATAGATATGCATTTCTGGCGACACTAACGACTTATTTTGTGACTTTTAGTCATCATAGTTTAATCAATTCATTTTAATTTCTATTGTAAAACACCATTATTTTCAGATTGATTTCAATGCATTTGAACAAAATGAGCGGTTTAATTTAAATGGTATTCTTACTGTAATACCTTTTATAGGTAATAGTAGTGCCATTGGAGTTAACGAAACATTACAAAAAGAGGCTTTCAATATTTGGCGTAATTTATCACATGATAGAGACAATGTTCCAGAACATGTATCTTCTGTCAGTCTAGAAGCCATGTATACATTTGATGCTGTTTGGGCTTTAGTCCAAGCATTAAACAAATCAATGCTTAACAATACATCACCATCAATGAAGAAATCATCGACTTGTTTTGATAGTTTATTACAAAATCATGATGAGTATTTGATGCATGTAAATAATACAAGTTTTTTCGGTGTGTCAGGACATATTCAACTTTCGAAAATTAATTCAAGTGATCGTGGCTATGGTACCATGTATGGACTTTACAATGTACAATCGACGACGTTGAAAAACAATAGAGGAGAAAGAGAACTCACCTATATAAAAGTATTGACATGGTATGAAACGACTCGTAATTGGACGAATTCTACTAATGAAGACAATACTTATATCATCTGGCCCAACAATGAAACCACACAAGCGCCTGCTGATTATCCACAACTTCGAGGTGAGAAATAAAGTTAATCATGAAAACAGGACTATTGTCATTTTATAAATAGAAAAGACAAGCAAAAACAATACTGATAGTCAAGAAAAATTTGAAGTTTCGAAACATCATACAAAAGTATATGCACTTCTAACAACGGAATATTTCAAGGTGTTCATTCACTTTTGAGTCATGACTTGATGGATCTATTAGACTTTAATAAACGATGCCTCTTAGAAAAAGTATTCGTGCTTGTGACATATTTCTGAGGAGATCGAATACGTTTTTAGTTAATTTCGGCTGTAAGGTCAAATATCGCTGTCAGATCATACTTTCGAATTTTGATCTGAAACATTGCTCAGATAAAAATGCCAATAAGACTAGTTTCCCTTAAAAAATTTGGAATTTTTGAATTGAATCTCTTCGAGATATGAAACTTTTAAGGTGTAGATTCTTTTTCATGGAGAGCATATTTACAGCATGTATTTTTTGAAAGTTGAATATCTCAGAGAAACATGTTTCGAAAATTTGGAATTTTTTATGTAAATAAAGGAAGCTTCCCACTTCAAAAATCTAACTTCGACAGGTTACATGCGATGTTGATGAAAATTTGCTTAGATGTTGGGCTCATGGAAGTACATTAACAAAAAAAAAAATTGACGTCTCTACACCTTACCGTTCAGAAGATATCCAGGAACAAAGCTGTAAAGCAGGACTTTTACGCGTACAAAGTTTTTTCTAATATACGTCAAGCTGCAGAGTTCTGGTTGCTTATATTTAAAAGAAGACTTCCTACTGCTTCGGATGAGGAAAAGGGTTTTTTTAATTTTCATTTTGTTGTAGTTTTTTTAGACCATCGAAATCTCAACAAATGTAGAAATTTTAAGCATGCTTTCCTGGAAAACTCGCCGTTCCTCTAGCATTGACGACTAATTAGAAAATTCTTTTCTCTCATCTGAAGAACTATCCATGTATCTATCGATGAAAACAGAAGTACAGCTCTCCAGGTTGAAGTATATTGAAACAAGCGCAGAAATTTTTTTTAAAACTCAGTCTACCTATTATTAATTACAAGAGAGGTAAAGCCTGAATATATTAGATGTCAATCGAAGCTCTTATCGATATACATTATGTTATCCTCATATGAGACATTACGATAGATGACAGTATCTATTATTGTCTTTATATGCGTTAAATCATCGAAGAAAATGAAGACAGAATATGGGTGAAAATTTAGGTTTCCGTGTATCTCAGATTTCCCCC